AAATAGACCAGCTCACTGTAACAGTTAGGGTGTGTGTGTGTGTGTGTGTGTGTGTGTGTGTGTGTGTGTGTGTGTACTGGGAATCAGGCTCAGGACCTCGCACTTGCCAGGCAGGCTCTGCAACACTGAGCCATATCCCCAGCAGTCACTGGAGACTTAAACATGTATTGGTAATGTTGCAGCTTGGCAGATGGGAAATTAGCAAAAAATTAAAAAAGCTCAGCAAAACCCACCACCGATCAACTGGATTTAACTGGTATCGACAGAGTACTTTATCCACAATAGCCAGACACATCTTCTTCTCAAGTGCACAGAGCAAAATCACCAACAGCAATAGCATTCTAGGAGAGGAAACACATTTTAGTAAGTGTAATCAGGGCCAGCCTGATAGCTCAGCAGACTACAGTGCCTGCTTAGGCAGAGCACAGTGGCCAGGGTTTGATCCCTGGCGTGCTGTGCCAGCCCTGCCCACAGGACATGCTGAGACAGTGATTGAGACTGGGCATGGTGGCACACATCTGTAATCCCAGCACTCAGGAGGCTGAAAACAGGAGAATCACTGAGTCTGATCTACCTAGTGAGATCCTGTAGACCCTGTCCTAAATACAGAAAAGAAAAAAAGAAATGTAATCGAAATCATAGAAGGTAAGCTGTCAGACCACATGGGACTGCACTAGAAACCTATTAACAGAAAGCAAGCTAGACAATCCCATAAAATCCCATAATTCCCATAATCTGTAACATATAGATTTTAAATCAGATCAAAGCTAAAATTTTAGGAAAATTTTCAAGGTATTTTGAACTCAATGAAAATTAAAATACAACTTATCAAAATGTATGGCATGCAATAAAGTACTACTTAGAAAAAGCATGTATAGTATCGAACGCATACCAGTAAAGAAAGCCACAAGCTGCCCTCGCTGGACTCAAACTCACAGGCGTCCAGCCCCTGCCTCCGGAGCACTACGACTGCAGCCGTGTGCCGCTCGCTGTGCAGGGAATAATCTAAAGTCAAGAGTTTCAGATTCCCGTCGGGGGTACAGCTGAGGCCAGCACATACCCTCATAATTCATAAGGTCTTGGCTCAACCTCCAGGATCAAATCCACAAAACAAACAAACAAACAACAAAAAACCCTTCATTTTAGGAGACTACAGAAAAAAAGAGTAATATACATCTAAATAGAACAAAAACAAAAATTACAACAAAAATTATGAAATTGAAAAGGGTAAAACGTGAGAAAAATCAATGAAACTAAAAGATTCTTTGAAAAGATTTATAAAATTGATAAAGCTAGACAAGCCAACCAAGAAAAAGCAAGAAATACATTATTAATAACAGAAATCAAAGAGGGGCCATCTCTATTGCTACCATGGACAATGAAGGGATGTACAAGAATACTGACAATTCTGTCTGTAAGTTTGATTCCTAAGATTAAATTCTTGAAAGATACAATCTACCTAAACTCCAGTAATTGGAAACAAATAATCTTGTTCAACATACTCGTTTCCATGAACCAGCGATGGCACCATCTTGAGCCCGTCCAGCCGTGAGGGTCTCCCTTGCCCCCCAGGCCCGCTCAGTCCTCCTGCTCTCAGGAGGTGTACTCCTTGAACAAAAGTCCTGCGTTGGCAATATCGCACTGTGATTTTAATTTGCACTTCCCAGAGAAAGACTGCTGTTGAACCTGTATCACAGGTTGGACTGATAGCAATCCTCTTGTCTCAGCCCCCAGCACTGGAATTACAGGCGTGTGCCACCATGCCTGGTTTTGGCACAGTGCACCCGGAATGAGAAAACAGGGTTCAAACTCAGGACCTTGTGCTTGCCAGGCAGGTGCTCAGATCACTGAGCTATCTCCCCAGCCCTTAAAAATTTAATTTAGTTGTACTGGTACTTTTGATATACACAGTGACCACACTCCTCACAGGGAATTCGTGCTGTCCATCGCTAGCTTTGATGCTCCCCACCATACCCCCTTCCTCCCCTCATTTGCAGAGCTTTGTTTCCATGTTTTCCTTTTCTCTCCTCCCCTGCCCACCTCCATCTCCCAGTCCGACAGCTGTCCACCAGGCACAGCAGCTGCTCAGGCAGCACTTGAAGAAATGTGGGGACGTCGTAGACATCTCTGAGGGGCACAGATCTGGGCCTGTGCTAACCAGGCGTCACTGTACGCCCTTTCCAAATGTTTCCTTTGCCTTGTACCACTAAGAACACAAATGATTCTTTTAAAATACCCAGTGAGAGAATTTTGCAAATAAAAATAAAAGGCAACTACCCTCTAAAAATCATGGAAGGGGGGCCAGGGAGATGGCTCAGTGGAATAATCGCTTCCCTGGCAAGCGCAAGGGCCTGAGTTCAATCCCCAGTTCTGCAAAAAATAAATAAATAAATAAATAAATAAATAAATAAATATCATGGAAGGAAGGAAATAAAATCAAAGCACACTACTTGGCTCTGCAGAAAATAATCATCAACGTGTGCAAAGGCAGTGTTACTAGGTGCAGCAATTGTGACTGCTAGGGGATGAGGGAGGGCCAAGTGACTTAAAGGGCTCCACCTCATCAGCAGCTCAGCAGTTCAACATGAATATCTCGTACAGGAGCCCGAAAAAGCAGAGCAAGCAAACTATTTTGCAGGGGAAAATCCAGCATGGGGCAGAGTTCTTTTTTATGGTTAAGTGTCTTGGCATTATTTAAGGGTTTAACCATTTGCTAAGTCAGCTATGTGGCAAACCCCAGGTGCGCTGAATGTGAGAGCCAGCAGGTCACATACACACCGCTGGGTGGCAGCCCTCGCTGCGGACAGGGAACCTTTACCTTGGAAAGATGAACCAACTGCAGAGGTAGAGGACCTGCAAAGGACGCGCATTGCCAACTTAGTGCTGTCACCTCCTGCCAGACTGGCAAACACTGTCCCCAGGCCCCAGACTAAAGACCTCTGCCAGAACACACCTGAGATGGATGAGGGGTGACTCCTGCTTGGGTCAGGATGCTGAGACCTGACAATCTCCCCACATGGCACCTGCCTGGCATCGGCGGAGGCTCCCCCAGACGAGACATGGGTGCTCCACACACAGCCTCAGGAGCGCCAGCTGCCCACTGGAGAGCAGCTGGTCTGGCGCCCCTCTGCACCCACTACCCACCCTCCCCCGCTGGAACCTGATGCACTGTAAACCCTCCAAGCACCCGTGTTCAACAGCGAGCCTTCTATTAAGACGAGACCTTGGTACCAGAGCTGACTCTGTAACAGAAAGTAACATCCCTTCGTCAATACCATAAACAGAGACCTTTTTATTTGTTAAGAGATCTGTTTAGAAGAAATCAGTACATGGTCATCTCCTCTGACCAAAAACAAGTATTGTCTAAGGTTTTTATTGTTTTAACACAAAGATAACAGTTGCCAGGTCATTTCTGATTTCCAAAATGTGAACCAAGAACTGTAACTTATCTAGAGACTTCACGTGTACAAAACATTAATCTTAGCAGAATTAGGTATTTTCCCTCATGGGAAGCAACAACAAAAAAATCAGAAACACCACAGGGTCTTCAAAGCCGCATGCCCAGCCCGTGGCAACGGCAGCCCTGCCCACCCGCCCTGCCCACCCACCCTGCACACGGCCAGTCCCCAACAGCTGGGGTCCAAGGCACCTGCCAGCTCCCAGCAGCGGAAGGCACTGAATGACTCCACAGTGCTTTCAGGGCGCGTGCTCCCCGCACACGGAATGCGGTGCTCCCCTAGCTGCACAGAACTCCTGGAGGTGCAGTGGGCCCAGGTGGGCTGCAGGGCACCCCGTGGGCCCCACAGCTCCTGGGCAATTCTACGGGAGGCAGCGGTCAGGGACTGAGCACGACCAGCTTGTGAAGCCGGTAGAGAAACGTGTTCTTCGCTTGGCAGCCTCTGCAGTCAGCCTGCTCCATGACCAGCCTGGGATGGACCTAACAGGACAGACAGAAGCACCGGTCAGGCTCTGCAGCAGGGCTGGCCAGGCCCTGAGTAAATAAACTATGTGCACGCGCGCACGACATGCAAGACAGAAAGTATTCTTCCCATTTTCCTTTTCTTTTTGTCGCTGTTCTGGTTTTTTGAGAGAGTCTTGCTATGCAGTTCAGGCTGAACTTGAACTCACTATGTAGCCCAGGCTGGCCTAAAACTCACGCGATCCTCCGGCCTCAGCCTCCCACGTGCTGGGGTTACATGTGTTTTTCAAATCTACATATAGGTGTTTGTCTACTCTCACACCCCAGACTATGTATCTGATAATTTACTTCCAAATGCATGTTTAATAAGACGGTATCAGTAACTGAAAAACCTCCCACACTGCCCTAAGTGTCAACAGTGCCGGGGATATAGTTGTGCGGCACAGTACCAGCCTGGCAAGCCAAGGTCCTGAGTCTGATTCCCAGTACCAAAAACTAACTAAATAAGAACAGCAGCTTCGGTACAGGTATTTATTTAAGAACAGGCAAGTCCTCTACAACACACCAAGCTCAAAGTGGAACTGCTTCCAAACTGCTTGCAGCTAATACGCATACCTATGAGCCAGACGCAGCGTAGCATCAGGAAGAGCTGCAGGGTTCCGGCGAGAGTCAGGCCTGGTGGTCCTGGGTCCGCCTTCCTCCGACTGCTGCCCAGGGTGCCGCCCAGTGCCCGCTCAGCGCCGGCACTGCCCACTCCACCGCAGGCTCGGCTCTTGGCCCCCAGCTGGGTCAGGCTTGGAGCCCACGCCCTCCAGTGGCCACCCCTGCTCAAGCTGTTACTCACCTGGTTCCACTCATAGGGCCTTTCATGCCACTTAGGAATCGTCTTCTCTCTAGGTGTCAGCTGACAGAACAAACTGCAATTTTAAAAAAGGAAATTGAGTTGTCTTAATTATACATTAGTAATTCAAAGCACTACTGGGATTTAAAAAATTTAAATCCTACATTTTTCTCTTTAGAATGGGATGTATTTTTTAAAGATCCAAGTTTTATGATATTTTAACTTAAAGTACATTAAAAAAACAAAGAAAAGGAGCACAGCAGACTGGACGGTTGCTGCACATGTCATCCACAGAGCCCGACTTTCAGTACAAATCTAGGCCCAACAGCGCAGGATGCAGCCCGGGGGGAGGGGCAGACCACGCAGGCACCGGCCCTCTCCTCCCAGGAGGGGAGCAAGCCCACCAAAGAACCACAGGGAAAGACAGCGGCGGCGTGGCTCCGTCACTTCAGTAAAAGCGAGCTACACATGAACACTCTAGAGGAGAGCCCAGGGCCTGGCTGTGCCACCCCATCGCCTTTCCCTTGTCCACTCTCCCTCCCTCCTCCAGGCCCTCACACTGACTGCTCCTGGGCTGCACCAGAGGCCAATGAGAGGTGAGAGCAACGAGGGGTTCTGGCAGGGCAGAGCTCCGGGCCTGCCACGCCCTATGTGCATGGATGTGGGGGCTCAGCACTACCCACTGTGTCCCCTGGCCCTCCTCTGGGGCCCAGAGCAGTCCCTTTAACACCTTTTCAGTGGCTCATGTGGAAGCCACCTCTGCCCCTCTGTCCCAGGACTGTGGACCCACACCCAATGCTTTCAGAAGCCACCTCAGCCCTGGAACCCACATCAGGATTCCCAGTGGCCACGCCTCTTACACAACTGGGAATACCCACAACTTGGGCAGCGGGGAAGCTCAGCACAGCTCACCTCAGAAGTTTCTGACGAGCACTGTCCTGTAGCTGCACAATTCTTTCAGGCCCCAGATACTTCAATCCATTTGGCCCATCACACACTAGCTTGTTGATAGCAGCCCTGAGAATATTAATCTGTAAAGGAATGCTTGCATCAGCACTCACTGGGCTCCATTCTCTGTAAATAAGTCAAGCTTTCAGTTACCGTCTATGACTATCATCACTACAGCTGCTGGGAGAACTATTAAAACAATACAAATAATAACAGCAACCACGATTACCAACTAATAACAGCAGAAAGAAGAAGTTAAGAATTGGCAAGAAACTTTCAAAATGATCAGTGGATTGTTTATTTTTAGCTGTTTGAGACAGGGTCTCACTGCATGTCCAGGCTGGCCTCAAACTCACAGCAATCCTCCCGGCTGCCGGATTAGAGGTGTGCACCCCAGCCCCAACCCCAGCCAGACTGCTCAGTGTAGCCACCTTCACTCTTGCAGGTGATACAGCTGCACGTGGGCAGCCGGCGCTGTGCCCAAGGAACCGACTGGCAAGCCCCTGACCAAAGCACTGAGGCTTTGCTTTATCATCGGCCTCTGCCAGCTTGTGCTTCTCATTCACCTCCAAATTGCAAGGACAGAGCAGACAGCTCCTGTGGCGCCTGACAGTCACGCTTTGGAAACCGACTCCAGGCCACTGCTGCTCACGGGCCCCACTGTCTGGACCGGACTCATTTCCCCTCCATGTCCTGTATCTGTTCCAGGACACATGCAGGCACCACATGCAGGCACACACCCTCTAGGGTGGGGTGGCTTCTTAGCCTTTCCTGGCCTTCACAACCTTGCCAATCTTCTCTGCTGCAGGCACCTGATACGCTCCACGGTCACCAAGTCCCAAGTCCCTTGGGGGCAGGAGCACTGACCCGAAGCCCTGGGGTGCTGTGTCTGTCGCCCTCGGTTATGTAATCATCCCTTTCCGTGTGGATGCTCCAGGCTACACTCTCATGTAGAAAGCCCTACATAATATAACTCCACGTTGCTTTACTACTCACACCACTCAGGCGCTGGCCACCGGGAGCTGCTCCTCTGCCCCTGTGCCCCGCAACCCACCCGCCTGCGGCCCTCCGGGAAGCTCCAGGTTCCTCCTATCCACTTCCCGCCCAGCCCAGAGCCAGCCATTTCTCCAGAAGACCTGGTTCCTGTGCTGAAGAACCCCGCAAGGGCCTGAGCCTGCTTTGTATCCTGGGGTCACGGTTTCCTGGCCCGCTGAGAGCAGGACACTGTCACGTGGACAGGAAGCCATGTGCACACAGACAAGAGAGCGGCTTCTGCAGCTGTCCATTCCTAGATACCAGTTAATCACGAGTTCACACTGATGCCAGCTCTCAGCCAGGACCCTGAGGTCACCAAGGCCTTTCTTCTCCTGCTCACTGACAACCCCTTCCCCAGAAGTTTGTGAAGGCAGAAGGCAACAAAAGCAAGCAAGCAAGCGACAAGATGAGCTTCTCTCTGTCCCCATGCAGTACCCAGGCCATCGGGGTTAGAGTGGTGCCAAACCAATCATCATACTGATGCAGAAATCACCAGCCTTGACCCTAGACGACCGCAGGGGTCTGGGGCACACCAGGCACAGCCCTCACGCGGACCCGCTGTGAAAGCTGCTCTGGGGCTGAGGCACACTCAGCTCCGTGCCCAACGAGGCCTGCGGGGGAGGCAGCAGCAGAGCTTGGTTTCTCATTTGCTCTGTGGACCAGGAAGGAGGGCACCAGAGAGCAGCTAGCCACCCCTGCTGCCCGGTGTCTCCTCTGACTGCTCGGGAGACAGCGCATGGGAGAGGCAGAGCACTAGCCACCCAGGAGCAGCCCCGGGAAGGCGGGCGCTCCCTGCGGACACTGCGGAGGGCAGCCAGCCAGGCCCACAGGCAACGTGGGAGCAGGACAGGAGCAGAGCAAGAACAAGGTGCCGGGACTGGGCGGTGCTGCTCACCTCAGTGATGTCCTCAACGCTGAACTGCACGTCGAAAGCCAGCTCCATGTCATGCTCTGGGAGGATGGGAGCTGCCGTCGCCGGGTTCCAGCCCAAGCCGCAGAGGACACCAGTGTAGCGTTTTCCCTCCTCATCAAGCCTGGATTCAGGGTTTTCAGAGCAATTAGTCATTGCACAATTGATAAACCACCATTTTAACATTAAAGAATTACCAATAAACCTTTCTATTTTCATTTCTGTTTCTTCCAGGTTGATACTAAAAATTTAGGTCAAATACGTATTATAAAGAGCTGGCCATGGGGGCCAGGAGGATGGCTCAGTGGAATAAGCACTTCCCTGGTAAGCGCAAAGGCCTGAGTTCAACACCCCCGCCCCGTTCCACCAAAATAAATAAAACAAAGAGCTGGCCACATAGCTCAGCAGATTAAAGCCTGCTTAGGCAGACATAGGGGCCAGGGATTTGATCCCCGGCTTGCTGTGCCGGCCCCACCCCTGAGGCATGCTGTGCCAGTGAATGAGATTGGGTGTGTAAGTGCACCTGTAATCCCAGCACTCCAGAGGCTGAAAAGCAGGATCACTACCAGTCTGATCTGTGTAGTGAAACCCTGTAGACCCTGTGCTAAATACATTTAAAAAATACATATCATAATAACAGCAAGTATTTATGTTACTCTAATTTATGTTTCTAATTCTCACTGTTTTAATGAGAAGATGGTATTGTATATAGTTTCCCCTGCCTCTGTGTTTCTTTCATGGGTTGAGTTCTTATGAGAGAGGTTTCTAGAGAGTCATCCAACATCTGCCTGGGACCAAGCCCAGAAAGCAGGACAGGCCAGGACTGGCGCCACCTCCCCTCCTCAGGCGCTCCACACAGGGACTCCTGCAGAGCCACAGCCCAGCTCTGTCCCAGCCACCAGCGTCACCTGCCCAGGTGTTACGGTTTGTGTCTAGTTGTCCCCCCAAAGCCTCATGTAGTCACGGAGGCGCAGTTCTACTGTCTGTGATTAATTCAGGATCCAAGGCTGGATTACAGGTCTGAGTACTGCTGGGATTACAGGTGTGAGTGCTACCTCCAGCCTGGGGCAGAGAGCCTGAATGTAACATCAGAGAGACAGACAGACTTGCCCTCTGCAGCCCTTGTTGCTGCTGCTCCTCCCGTTCGCTCTCTGCTCTTTGCCGTTGCCAT